CCCCCCCGTTCCTCTCTCGACCTTCGTCTCTCACTATACTCACTCATATTACGATCCATCCGTTTACGGACCACCTTCGGGATGGTGAGGAAGCTCGCAAGATAAAGTACGGTACGCGTACGAGGTCGCCAAGGCCGAGAGGAAGGGGAGGTTCCATCGTCAACCCTCCTTCCCCCCACTACGCTCTCGAAACGTTTGAAGCCTCCAGTCTGGCGTGGGTCGACGACAGACAACGTGTATGCAGTTCGAATTCATCCGAGACCGCGCGCGAGAGACAGCCGCCGAGTCCAGGACCACGGACTCAGTCCCCTACCCCAAGTTATAGAGTTCACGCAGCGCGCCGCGCGACGCGGCGGTCACAAAGGTCAAAGGTCAAAGGTCCTGGGGGAGACAGGCCGGGCTGCGGGGGGACGAAGCCCGGACCCGTTTCGGTTAGGTTACGGAGGGGGCCGTGTTGCCTAACCCTGTGCTCTACTGCGCACCGCGATAAGCGATTACGTGTTGAAGGCAGACACAAAAGTGTAGCTCTACGTGTAGCTGAACGCGTGGCCGAACACGAAAAAAGAAGTAGCTAAAATAGCTAATTTAGCCTTAGATCATAAAATTAACAAACATTAGCTAACATATTTGTATTCACAGCTAGTTCCTCTTTTCCTAGACAACTGTAATGGCTAATTTGTTTAGCTCTTTTAGCTAATGATGAGCTAGGGGGGCTAATATTCTGATCTAGGGCCATATTACAGCAAACGCATTAGCTTATTTGGCAAATTCTTTTTTTTTTCGTGAACGTCCCCCACTCCACCCCTGGGATCTTCTCTCTCTCTCTCTCCGAGCCTGCCTCTCCTCTCCTCGCGCAGGGGGGCACGTGCACTGCAGCGGCAGCTTCCAAACACCGCCGCCGCCGCCCACAGGTTGCCGCCATGATGGTGACTGAACGGGCCCCGACGGGCCCCTCCTCGCGTCGCGGCGCGTGCGAGGCAGGAGGGGGGCTCTGACTCGCACCACCAGCACCAGCGCAGCGCCAGCGCCACCCACGGTCACCGAACATCACGTCAGCAGTCCACGTGCCGCTCCGGCCGCTTCTCCTCTTCTCGGGGGACCGTGCCGCTCGCGGTGCACTGTCACAATTTCCTGCTGGGTACATTTGGTACATGATCGTTGTACTTCTTTAGTGTACGGCGCGTCCGACTCTATGAGAACGGTGTTTGTGTACTTTGTACCTCAAAAAAAATGTGGACCACATACATAGTACGAGCAAGCAAAGATTTACTTTTTCCGACTGTGCGCTTTTTCCGTGTTTGGCGTGTTCGGTCGTTTGGTCGCGCAGAAAAAGGAAAGCAAAGCCGACCATATGTGCACCGTCACCGTTTGTTTGCTACTGCAGCTATGGACTCAAATGAAGGGGGAAAAATATATCTCACTCTATGTCTCCTGATGGCAATGACAGTGATTCAAGTTACTTGGGGAGCGGCTCAACCTCCACCTCTACTCACCTGGCTCGGGCCACTTGGGCGCTGCGGCTGCCGGCGCCGCCTCATCTCGGGCCGACCGGGCGTACTCTGGAAAAAGAAAAGCAAAACAAAATGCCGTTAACGTGACAGCGAGAGCAATAGAAGTGAGTCGACAGTTTTACCCGAAACACTCCCTCGATATCGACGCGACCGACCGACCGACCCTGCCCTGCCTTGCTGTGGACTACGCGGTCAATTTATTTATACGGCAGCCAGCAGGTTGCAGGCGGTGGCGGTGGCGAGATGAGAGAAGGGCGGCCTCGGCCGGGCCTGTGGTGATTACCCATGAGCCTGGCGTCGTGAGCTCGGCGACGGGATTGCTTGTTGATCACGTTCCAGCTTTTGAGATCCTCTCTCACCTCTCCTCCACTTCTACCCCCTTCTCTCTCTCTCTCTCTCTCTCTCTCTCTCTCTCTCT